ACAATAGACTAGTGGTTCCCAGAGGGTAGGGTGTGGTGGAGGAGGGGTAGGTAGACAGGATAAAGGGGGTCAAATATAGAGGAGTAGGGGGAGGGTGAAGTGGGTAAAGGGGATCAAATATATGGTAGCTGAAGGAAACTGGACTTTGGGTGGTAATCACACAATAGAATATATAGATGTCAAATTATAATGTACACCTGAAAATTATATAACTATATTAACCAATGTTTTCCCAGTAAACTTAATTTAAAAAAATAAAATTAAAAAAAAGCTCAAGCAACAATTCAGCCAAAAAACAAAAAAAGTAGAAGACGACTATTTGGTGGTTTCAAACAAAAGACTTGTCTCAGATGAGTCAAAAAGACAACAACAAAACATTTAGTCACTGAAAGAAATAAAAATCTGCTCCCTAAACTTTGTATTCAATGGTTATGTTACAGTGATTTCTCTACATTAAGGGAATTCTTTCTAGGTAATTCCTAATTTTCATAAAAACTTTTCTGTATTGCTCTAAATACAGTTCCCTGAATGAAAAGTAGTTCAGTTGTGGATGTATTCAGTCAAGAAACATTCTCAAATCACCTACTTGGTACAAAGAACTCATAGTCATTGGATATGCAAAGTAGAACGAAACAGATGTGTTTGGGGCCCTCAAAGATTTTAAAGAGAAGTTGATCTAGCTAAGGAAATAATTCCGCTCTACCTACTCTTCAAATTTTGTTAGAAACCATCAAATAATGTTGAAAATTAATGAGTCAACTGTTATTGACAATTTATTAGGTTCTGTGGTAAGTACTTGATATATGTGATTTACTTCTAACCATCCCTATCTCACAAAGAAAACATAGAGAACTTGATAAGTAATTGGCCCAGTCATAAATCAAGTCAGTAGCAGAGACAGGATCTATAACAAGACATGTCTGATATCACAATTCATGTTTCTAACCAGCATCCTTTCAGTCAACATTACTAATAGAGTTATCTGTATGAAGAGTTAACCGTTAAACAGAATCCAGATATCACTAGCATTCCTTTAAAAGACAATTATTGAGCGTCGCTTTGTAATTTGAACTTTCAGAGCGATATATTAATATATCTGTTGCAAACACCAAGAAGGAATATGTCTGCCAAGGAGGACTCCTTGTGGTTAACTGGGCCGCAATTCACAATCAGAGTCTAGCAGCCATTGCTTACAAAGGCCTCTCACCACACACTGTACACTAAGGAACATTGCATAATAAGCTGCCAAGCCCACTGTACTGAGTGCGTTCCTCTTGGCTGAGCCCACCCTTATAAAGGAGTTCCTGGAATCGTATTTCGTCCAATGGACTGAGACATGTTCCAGTCCAATTGAAGCTGTGCAGCTATAACCTCATTTACATCTCTACCAACCAATCAGAGCAGCTCCATAATGACCAATCAAGACACACAATTCTGACCAATCAGGACAGTGCTATTTGGACCAATCAAACTGTGGAAATTTGGATTCCTCATTTGAATAAAAATGGACCGCAGAGGGACCAGGGCAGGCACTTTTACGTAGAAGTGGCTTCCCCTTTGTCTGGGGTAGCACACTTTGTTTCCACCTGAGGCTGTATTTGCCTGTTTTGCAAAACGTTCACCTGAATAAAGTCTCTCCTTTTACCGTGGTCCAGACTGGGGACTCCTGTTGGCATTGGATTGGTGGCAGTGACTCTTCGTTGCCACTATATAGCTCTAAAAGCATATACATGTCATTTTATATATCTCCAAAATCTCAAATTATTTATGCACTACGCATATACTCTTCCTTTATTCAATGTGCCAGCTAATTTAGCAGGACAGGAGATTACATAGAGGTTTAGAGCCAAACATAGAGGTAATAAGCATTTTTCTGGCTTGTCTTGCCTCTGTGCACACAACTCTTTTGGTTCCTTTATCACAACCACCTACTAAATATTTTTTAAAGTAATACCACTTTCCTAAAGAGATCTCTATTTTCTAGCTTTGATTTTTTTTTTTTTAAAGTTATTTCAAGTTGGAGGAAGGAAAGCAAGCTTACACTCAAGGTGAGTTTCAGTCTGAAGTTTAGTTGCTTCGCGTACCCTGGCTTATTTTTAATATTTTTTGAAACATTCACATCAAAAGTCAGATAGCTTTGGAACTGACTTCTGGATAGTATATATTTAACGTCTGAGATCATTCTACGGAAGTATTTGTAGAGGTGGTTTGGACAGTTTGGAAAGAAAAGCAGGAAATAAAAAGGCTCCTTTTCTCCAAAGACTGGTATAAAGAACATCACACAAATTTACATAAAATGGCCGAGATCTGACAACTGGACTTCTTGAAAATTTACGGATCATTTTGAAAAAGCTAACTATGTTCAGGAAGATGCCTCCCTTTTCTCAAAATGAAATTCTGAAAGAAGCTAGTATGTTTTAAGTAATCTGATGTTGTATGGAGCCAGAAAAAATATTTCCTGTGTGGTACAGGTGAACATAATTAAACAATACAAGTTCTTCATTCTGCAGAATGAAGCATTTCTTTCAAAAACTAAACCTCGTAATTTTTAGTTTTTTGAGGAACCGCGATGTTTTAAAAAAAGAAATAAAGAAATTATTGGGAAGGTTATATACAACCCGCTCTATCTCCTTGCCTCTTTCTGACACTCCCTCCTCACCCCAACCCTCATTCTAAATTTCCTAGAAGGGTATGAATTCAGGGGACGAGGTGGGCAAAGGTGGCTGTGCTTGTGCATGGCGTGTGGAGGGAGCGGGAAGGTGGCCAGCGAGAAGACGCTAGACAGCAGAAAACGACAAAAGCAAGGCCTGGGGAGGGAATGGGAGGGAATGGGAGGGGCGAAGAGTGTTGCAGACCCTCCTAGGTAAACAGAGAAGGACAAACTCCAACCACAGGGAGGTGATGCCACTTGTGGGCCCTCAGATTGGAGAAGACCGAAATGAGTGACAGGGCGGTGCTCGCTGGGGCCCCGCGCAGAAACAGGAGGAGGGGGTTGTCTGTGCGTGTGCACGAAGCGGGGGAGGGGAGGCGAGCTCCTGCAGCACTGGCCTCGGGAGTTGGGGGGCGAGCTCGTTGGTGACGCGAGGCCTTCACGTGACCTGGAGCTGCAGAGCGACGCAGCCTTCGGTGCAGTCGTCACTCCTGTTTGGGTACCAGCTCCCCGCTGCCCTGCGCACGGCGGGCTGGCATCGGGCCCGGGGAAAGCCGAGCAGGTAAGGGCCCGGGGCCGCGCGGAGACCCGG